AACCCTCAGGTATTGAAAGTTTATATCTGGTGCACTAGTCCCAGCAATTAAACTAAAAAAAAAAAAAATACAAAACCATATAACAAATGTGAGGAAGGCTAAAAATGTTTTTTTCCTAACATTGGCTCTTTTAAAAACATTACCAAAAAAACCCACCATCAACAAAACATTAAAATAAAAACAGACACACACAAAACAACAACAACAACAACAAAAAAAAAAACCCTGTAGACTTAAATACATATTATAGACCCTCACTGGATTGCTCAGTTGGTTAGAACTCATCCTGATAAACCAAGGTTTCGAGTTCAATCCCTGGTCAGGGCACATACAAGAATTAGCCATTGAATGCATAAATAAGTGGAACAACAAATCAGTGTTTCTCTCCCGCTATTCCCCCCTTCTTCTCTCTAAAATAAAAATATATAAATGTATTTATATACCATTTTTTTAAACTGCCACTGCTTGACAAATGACAGAAACATGTGCATAGACAGACTGCCTGTTGGGTATCCAGCCTAGGAGATGATCACTCTGCAGTGGTCAATCCTACTTCCTTCTCCACAACTTCCCACAGGCTGAAGAATTTACATACCTGCCCACAGCAAATGTGCTGAGGGTTTCACACTAACATAAGCCCACAGAAATCAAGCAGAAAGGGGCAATTCATAATGTGTCTGAACAGATCCAGTTCATGAGTCTCGTTCATAGCTGTTCTTGTTCTGTATCCATTTACAGTCCAAGCACTCTGACCATTGCTTACTTTCTTATTTGATACAGTTCTTGCATTTTCATGCCAGCTTGTCCATTAAGTAAATAGTACATGTTTTCCATCTGCCAATGTTTTTCAAATGATTTCTATCAAAATCTCCTGGAGGGCTTGTTAAGCTAGATTTTGCAGCTCTACCTCCAGGGGTCCTAATTCAATAGGTTTGAAATAGGGCCAGAAAATTTGTTTTTCCAACAAGTTTATAGGTGATGCTGCTGTTGCTAGTCAAGGAATTGCAAAAGTATAATAATATGCCAATTGCCCACGGCCAATGCAATTTAAAGAGAAATGAAACAATAAATTAATTTTAAAAATTTGCTAGAACATATTATAAAAAGAAAACATGATAAAATTAGGATATGTTCTTATACAAGAATAACCAGGGTAATTGGGATGGGCAGTCATGTTTTTAAAATAGGAGATTATTTGTCATGATGTTCTACATCGTTTTGGTTTTTAAAAGCTGACCCTAACAATATTTACAGGCAAGCATTAAGTCTCCTTCTATTCAAAAAGTAGTTGATGACAAAAAGGACAAAGTAACTAATTTTGCATTTCAAGACATTCTAGATGGCTGTCACACATACTGGCACAAAGCAAGACTGATCCTTAAAGAGAATAAAAAGTAAGTTGAGTCCATAGTTCTTAGTTGAGAAGCTATCTTTAATTGCTTTATTTCTGAATTTTTGCAAACCACATGCCCTTCTCTGAGCAAACACAAGGAAATATTTTGGAGTCTTTTACTTTCTCACTTACAGTCCCATACTATTCAATTTTATTTCTTTATTGACTACTGGAGGCCTGGTGCACGACATTTGTGCAAAGGGGGGACATTCCTAGCCTGGCCTGCACCTTCTCAAAGTTTGGGACCCCTCAGGGGATGTCTGACAGCTTAGGCCCGCTCCCTGCCTAAATTGGACATCGCCCAAGGGGTCCTTAGCACTGCTCCAGAAGCACAAGAGGCTCCCACCACCACACTGTGCACTCGCCAGTCATGAGCCCGGCTTCTGGCTGAGCAGCACTCCCCCTGTACAAGCGCACTGACCACCAGGGGGGAAGCTCCTGCATTGAACGCCTGCCCCCTGATGGCCAATGCTTGTCATAGCGATTGGTTATTCTGCCATTCAGTTGATTTGCATGTAAGCCTTTTATTATATAGGATGATCTGGTACTACTTTTAAATTGAAAATAAGTGAGACAAGAAACTTTTAACCCTATTTTTAGTAAATACTAAAGCATTATCATAAAGTAAAATGAAGGGAATAACATATTAATCTTCATAGAAGTTACTGGGGGATCCAGTAACATGCTTAAAGGTAATTGTCCTCCAACAAAAGCTTGAGAGAGGGGTTGTAAGTTTATCTGAGCATGTGGTTGGTTAGATGGTTAGCCACTGTATAGGGATTTCCCACTGGAAGTATAGTTTAGCAAAGCAAAGGTTGAGAAGATTGTTTTTGTTCATTTAGGATTTTGCCCCACATTTAAAATTAGAAAAAGGGGCCAAGATAAAATTATACTTCTATTTTGTGAAAAGTAATAAAGGATCTCATTGACAGGAATCTTATTTCACTAGAGTTTGAATGTTGTTGTGTTTTACATAATTATTTGGTGTATAGTAGACTGGAGTGCCAATTCATGAGAAAGACAAAGGGTGACCCAGCGATTCCACTTCTGAATATATATCCAAAGAAACCTAAAACACTAATTCAAAAAATATGTGTACCCTATGTTCATTGCAAGGTTATTTACAATAGCCAAGATATGGGAGCAACCCAGGTGCCCATCAATAAACAAATGGATAAAAAGTAGTAGTACATATGTATACTAATATAGTGGAATACTACTTGGGAGAAAAAAGGAATGAAATCTTAGCATTTGCAACAGCATGTATGGACCTAGAAGGTATTATGCTAAGTGAAATAAGTCAGTCAGAGAAAGACAAATACCATATGATTTCATTTACAAGTGGAATCTAAAGAACAAAATAAATGAACAATTGAAAAAACTCAGAGACAGAGAACAGATTAATGTTGCCAGAGGGAGTGGGGGTGGGGGAATGGGTGAAAGAAGGGAGAAGGGATTAAGAAGTACAGATTGATAGTTAAAAACAGTCAAGGGGATGTGAAGGACACCATAGGGAATATAGTAAATAATATTGAAATAAATATGTATGGTGACAGGTGGGCACAGGCATTATCTGAGGGTGAGGGTAGGGAGAACACTTTGTAAAATAGATGATTATCTAACCACTATGCTGTACACCTGAAACTAAATACAAAATAATATTGAATGTAAATTGTAATTGGGGGGGGGGAGCCAAAGGGGGAAGTGCTTTAAAAATATTATAAAAGGGCTGAAACTGGTTTGGCTCAGTGGATAGAGCGTCGGCCTGCGGACTGAAAGGTCCAAGGTTCGATTCCAATCAAGGGCATGTACCTTGCTTGCGGGCACATCCCCAGTAGGGGGTGTGCAAGAGACAGCTGATCGGTGATTCTCTCTCTCTCATCAATGTTTCTAACTCTCTATCCCTCTCTTTTCCTCTCTGTAAAAAAAAAAAAAAAAAGCAATAAAAAATATATTTTAAAAAACTTAAAAATATATTATAAAAGGAATCAATGAGGTTTACTAAGGCTTCCCCTTAAACTCTAAGGCTTAGAGCAAGGATTCCAATTCCTCTTCAGAGAATTAGTATTCCCTCCAACACACCTGGGCTGCTCCCCCGCCACCACCACTTCCTAAGAAAAATGAGAGCCTGTATTTCCTCCTGAATTCCAAGTGAGCCTTCACTGCATAACTCCACATGACAGAATCCTGGCAAATTAAATGGTAGGTAAACATAGGAACAGGATATGGAATAAGTAAACATGAACAGGAAACAGCTCTCTTGCAAAAAGCCAATATTTAACAAATGTTATGCCTAATGAAGCACATTTATCTGCTTTTCATAATTTTCGGTTTTGTTTCAATACAAGACCACCAAAAATTTTTATCGTAGCATTTTTTTTTACTTTAGCATTTCATTGAGTTGCCATGTTCTAGTTTATTTCCTTTAGTCTTAAAATGTTACTTTTGTAGCAACACTTCCAAGTTAAAAAAAAAAAAAAAAAAAAAAAAGGCTGCACCAAGTTTCTCCATAGTAAAAAGGGTCAGCTTTGAAAAGACACTATTGTTGCTATGTTGGAAGAAAATGCTTGTATACAGCATTGAAGCACTAGGTAACAAAGGGCTTGCTTCTGGTTTCTTTCTTTTTCTTCGCCATTAAGCTTATGCCGGGTTTGAGATAGGCTTCGCTCTGCAGACCACGAGGCGTGTGGTGCTAATGAACAACTTCAGTGATTCCAGGAATGCCTGGGGGGGGGGGGGGGAAACTTCAAGTGGTTCCGGTGCACCTATTCAAGGTGGTTGCTTTTTAAAGCTCTGAAAAGTCTGTTGCACCAGGTGTTCCTCGTCTCCAATGGAGGGAGGACTTAGAGCGTCCCTCCAGGTTTCCACCTGTCTCCTTCCCCCTCTCCAGCTCTCTCGTTTCCTTTCTCCAAGGTGCAGCCCTGCACGTCTCTGAGAGCGGATTCCTCCGCTGGCTTTTCCCGGCTGCCTGGCCCCACGTGACGTCCCCTAACACCTGTACCAGCTCAGCTCACAGCGCCCCCATCCCCGCCGCCAGGTAACAGACCCTGCCCGGCTCCCCAGCTCCCCCTTCCCCTAGGAGGTCTCGATCTGAGCGCCAGCCTCGCTCGGGCCGGCAGGGGAGGGGCTGGCTGAGCTCCGGCCAAAGCGGCAGCGAGAGCCCGTGCAGCCTGATTATCACATGACTCCACGGCGGCGGCGGTAGCCGTGGCAGCAGCAGCAGCAGCAGCAGCGGCGCCGGCTCCGCGGGTGCGCCCGGTGGGCTCAGCTCCGTTCCTCTCCCGCAGGAGCGCAGCGCGGCAAGGGGTCGGGAAGGGACCTGCAGCCCGCGAGCTGCGGCCGCCCAGCCGCTCTCCCCGCCCGGCCCGCCCGCTCCATGCCTCTGGTTGCGGAAGTGCAGCGGGGGTAGGCGGCGGCGCGGAGCGCGGGAGGCCCGGGCTCGGCCCCCTGCAGCACTAAGGGCTCCGGGAGCCCAGCGGCGCGTCCCGAGCGGTGCCGCCGCCGCCGCCGCCCGCGCGCCCGGCGCCCGCCGCAGCCTGCATGCCCCGCGCCCCCGCCGCCGCCGCCCCCTGCTCGCACCGCCGCTGCTGCCGGGCGCCGGAGTAATATGCTCACTCGGGTGAAATCTGCCGTGGCCAATTTCATGGGAGGCATCATGGCTGGCAGCTCGGGCTCCGAGCACGGCGGCGGAGGCTGCGGAGGCTCGGACCTGCCCCTGCGCTTCCCGTACGGGCGGCCGGAGTTCCTGGGGCTGTCTCAGGACGAGGTGGAGTGCAGCGCCGACCACATCGCCCGCCCCATCCTCATCCTCAAGGAGACCCGGCGGCTGCCCTGGGCGACCGGATACGCAGAGTGAGTGCCGCGACCCTCCCCGGCGGGTCTCCCCCCTCCTCTCCTCGCGGCCCTTCCCCACACGGCTGGCTCCTAACCTCCTGCTCTCTTCTCGTTCCTCAGCCCCAGGGCTCTCCGGCTGCGGGCGTCAGGCCTCGCCGGGCACCTAGGCGGGTACCCGACCGCATTCCCGGCTCCTCCACGCCCCCTTCCCCCATCCCCAAGGACGCGGCGTCTCCTGTGCGGGTGTGGGTGGTAGATGGGTAGGTGAGGCGCTGGACCGTGGGAAAGCGGAGGTTGGACGGATCTGTGATTTTTTTTTTCGGGGGGGGGGGGGCTGTGGCACTTGGGAATGCGTAGAGCAGTTCTGCTGAAGTTTGAGACGCAGCAGGGACATCTGGGATCTGTGTTCTCCACCCCAAACCTGTGTGCCTCCAGGTGAAGTGGAGCGGTCCCTGCGCCAGGGGTGGGGGTTGGGGTGGTGTCCGAGCCCTGGAGGCGGCCGCATTCGCTTCCGAGGTTGCACACTTCGGAAGGTCTCCGTTTCCTGACTTCAGCCTAATAGCTTGTTCGCCTCCCCGTTTGCAGGTATAATAGTTAAATCCCTGCGCGTTCGTTAAAATGCCAGTGCAATTCCCTCCAGCCCTTCGGGAGGGGAAAACTTGTTCCAGGTGTTTAAGGACAGCGTTTTGGTAATCCGCTTTGGCGATTCTACGAGTGTGTTTTTGTGTGTGTGTGTGTGTGTGCCTGATTTGCTATTTCAAGAACCTACTGAGTTTTGTTGACGCCCTGGCGTGGAGCAGGGCAAGGAGGGCGGGAGGCTTTAATGGCCTCTGCCCCCCACCCCCCCTCCGCGGCTACTCCCTCATTGACTCTATTAATGACCATTTTATGAATGGTAGGAGAAGTGCTGTTTCTCCCCCCCACCCCACCCCTGTTTAGCGTTATGGAACTGCGAAACTCCGAAGGTGGGATTTAAGAGCTCGGAGTTGGGGGGTTGGCAGTGACCTGGTGGTTGCAAACATCGCACGTGAAGCCCCGGCGCCTGGGCACACCTGCCCCTTCGGCTTTAACTGGGTCCGCTCTGCGATCCGGGCTGCCCTCGCCCGGGCACAGCCTCGCCCGCTGATTGGTTCCCGGTGAGCCAATCAGCTCTCCCTCCCGACGCCTGGGCGCTTTGATGCTGACCCTGTTCTGGTGGCCCGGATACCCCCCGGCGGGCGGGCTGGGTTCCCGGGGCACTCCGGCTCCGGCGGAGAGGTGGCCTGGAAAATGCCCTGCTTAGAATCTGGAATCTCCTCTTCCTCCCCCACTTCCCACATATAACCGTTCCTCCAGGGGCTGAAAAGGAAAATGTGTATCAATGGGGATAGACGGCTAGCGTGTGAGAGTGAGGAATCCGAAGTGGATCTGCTGGGTGCTAAAACAGAAATCAACACCATAGAGGGTAAGCATGGAAGAGAACGTCGGGGGTGGGAACGTACAGAATACTTGTGTAACTTCCAGGAGAAAGCCAAAACAAAAATAAACACCTATGTAAGGAAAGACCCAAAGGAGGGAAAAGTGCAGCGTCTTGGCTGCAGTGAGAAAGCATTGTTGAAAAGCTCATTTGGACCCTTTGCAAGACACAAAGCACCTGGAAGGCATATTCCGTCCTGCAGTTGTGTAGATGGGCCCTTGTGCCTTACCCCAAACCTGAAAGGTGGGGGAGGGGATGTCACTCCAGTGGGCTTTCCATGGCAAGGGCACCTGTCCGGGGAGTAGAGAAAGACAAGTAGGCAAATGGTGAGAGGTAGGAAGGAAGCTGTTAAGACACAAAACGTGGAAGCCACTTGGGCACAAGAAAAGGAGTACCGCCAAAACTGGTTTGGCTCAATGGACAGAGGTCGGCCTGTGGACTGAAGGGTCCCGGGTTCGATTCCAGTCAAGGGCATGTACCTTGGTTGCAGGCACATCCCCAGTGTGTGTGGGGGTGTGTGTGTGCAAGAGGCAGCTGATCGATGTTTCTAACTCTCTATCCCTCTCTTCTTCTCTGTAAAAAAAAAAAAAAATCAATATATATATGTATATATATATATATATATATATATATATATATATTGATTTTTTTTTTCTTTTTAAAGAAAAGGAGTACCTCAGAGAAGCAGGACAGATCGGAAAGGGGGAAACCCCACCAGTTTCAGAATGTTTGGATCCTGAGGCCGACACACAATGAGCCAAGGGCTGTAGAGATGATAAGGGAATCTGAAATGAGACATGTAGGAGAGGTTGTACTTCTGGGGCCCTACCTCTTCCTAGTTGGGCTTCAGTTTCCTTATTTCTAAGACCAGGACATGAGAGAAGATCAATTTGAAGGCTAAGAAAGGCCATTGTAAAATGCTTCATTTTAAAAATAGCACATGTTAATTCAAGCTAAGACCACTATGTAAGTGTAAGCCCTTCCTCAGCCCCCAGGAGCAGCTGTGATTCTGCATTTTGTGAGTGTGCCTTCTAAGCTTCTTCGGATGCACCTGTAAATATGTATCATGCATTTCTTCTTTTCCCCCCAAAGATCCACACTATGCCTGTTGTTCGGTAGCATTTTCTTAAAACACGGAGTCACTGGTTTTATCCCAAGTCAGTACACATAGAAGTACCTCATTCTTTTAAAATGTATCCATAGTACTAATAACAACTAACAGTTAGTACTTGCTGTTTAGTGCTTGCATTCTTTCCAGGTTTGTGTCATATTATTTGATTCTTACAACAACCCTCTAAGGCAGCTCTTTTCAACCTTTTTCATCTCATGGCTCACATGAACTAATTATTAAAATTCTGCAGCACAACAGAAATATATTTTTTGCTAATGTGACAAAAAAAAATAGGTATAATTTTGATTCATTCACCCTGGATGGCTATTGTTGTGTTGGCTAATGTCATTTATTTTTATTTTAAAAAAATATATATTTTATTGATTTTTTTTACAGAGAGGAAGGGAGAGAGATAGAGAGCTAGAAACATCGATGAGAGAGAAACATCAACCAGCTGCCTCTTGCACACCCCCTACAGGGGATGTGCCCGTAACCAACGCACCTGTCCTTGACTGGAATCGAACCTGGGACCTTTCAGTCTGCAGACCGACACTCTACCGCTGAGCCAAACCGGTTTCGGCTGGCTAATGTCATTTAAATGTGACAATCTAAGGGAAAAAGGTCAGTGCCTCTGACTAAATAGTCAGGAATTCATGCTTTAAAAAATCTTGTGGCATACCAGTTGAAAATCACTCTAAGGTGAGCACTAACAATTTCATTTTATAGATGAAGATACAGAGGCATGGAATGGTTAAGTAACTTGCCCAGAGTCATACCACCTTAGCAGAACCTGTATTTGAACCCAAGCAGCCTGACTCGGTAGCCCACAACAACAAACTACATCCTTACAACGTATGAAATTATGGTACATCCATCTGTACCCACAGTTAACCATTAACATTGTCTTACCACCTCCCTCTGTCAGATGTTGTACCTTACCACTTCCTCAAACCTTGAATTGTAGTTATCTTCCTGCAAAATATATCTTGAATGACCAAAAATGGTTGAAATAGGGAAGGGGAGGGAAAGACCAGTAGGAACTGGTGCTATGATTAAAGGCTGCTGCCATTAAAATTGCCCCTTGCTACAGGGTATACTGGAAGGAGGAATTACCTTCTCTTTGTTCTAGAAGGTACTGGAGAAGGGATGGCATTGGTAGGAAGATTGCTCAGAGAGTGGAGATACGAGAGATGGCACTGAGTCGGGGCCTAAGTCAGAAGTGGTTTGCTTATCTCTCTGGAGAGTGAGTTACTTGCTAAGCTTTCCTGGGGAGGAAGACTTGGCATCACTGGGTGAGACACTGAGGAGTTAGAGGAGACTGGAGTTCTAGTATTGATGACCTTTTTGGACGGTAGAAAAATTGAGAAATGGTTTATTTGTTGCCATTTATTATTAACCCCTTTCAAGGAGAGATACTTTTGCCAAAACCAGTTTGGCTCAGTGGATAGAGTGTCCGCCTTCGAACTGAAAGATCCCGGGTTCAATTCTGGTCAAGGGCATGTACCTTGGTTGTGGGCACATCCCCCGTAGGGGGTGTGCAAGAGGCAGCTGATCGATGATTCTCTCTCATCGATGTTTCTACCTCTCTATCCCTCTCTCTTCCTCTCTGTAAAAAAAAAAAAAAAAAAAAAAAAAATTAAAAAAAATCAATAAAATATATTAAATAAATTTAAAAAAAGAAGAAGAGATACTTTTTATAGAACATTGAACTAGAGATTTTGGGATCCAGAAACTGAAGACCCACATTTATTAAGTCAACTAGATCCCAGTACGCGAAATTCATGCATGGGTAGGGTCCCTAACAGCTGCCGGCTGCTGGCCGGGACCTTCTCCTTCGGTCTGTGCCACCCCCTGGTGGTCAGCGCATATCATAGCGAGTGGTCAAACTCCCAGTCTCCCCATAGAACTCCCTAGGAGACACTTTGCAAATTAGGCTTTTATATCTATAGAAGATATTTATTGGCAATGGGTGGGGTGGGATTTCCTGGTTCCTCTAAAAGCTTCCTATTATGGCTGAAAAGTTAGCTGGGTGATTAAGGGCTACATGCTAGGTATCCAAGCACTGTAGTTACAGACAACATCCACAGAGCTAAAATCTTCCTCACAACTTGCATTCTAGTTTGGCTTTGAAATTCCCGACTTAGCCTATTAGGTCTGCTCAGAGTGAGGCCATTCAAAGCATCAATCTGACCCAGAGACCCTTCCCAACAGCTACTTCCTTCCTCTCTCCACAAGTTTAAGTACCACCCAGGTGGGCCCTGTGCTTAAGGGATCTAGAAGTCAGTTCGATTTCTAGTTGAAAAGGAGCCCATTTTGATTTTTCTTCTTTCTGACCTGTTTGTCCACCTTTCTCCTACTGATGGCCATTTGGACATAGATATACAATTGGGTATCTGAAACTTACAGCAGTAGAGAATGCCAGAGAATGTGCAGCTCCCTATATGTGAAAGC